AAAGTAAAGATCATTTCGAAAGAATATGACCGGGTGAAAGCAAGGCGCTAGTCAGTACACACTGCCACCTAGCCAGACTTCGCTTGGGCAGCCCAGATTAGGGCCCGACGTGCAATATAACAGGGCCTAACAGGGCAATCTAGTCAGGGCCAGATTTGCGTTCCCTTATAATGTTATGAAGTATATAAAATCTACTATATAATTAATATTCATAAAAAATATACCAAATATGTAATTGAAATGACAAAATAATTAAAATAAACATGGAAAAATCGTCGTAAGTGTTTTACTTGCGACTGTTGGGCAAATATCTATTGATATTGCTGTGAGTGAGACTCGAACCTAATGATTCAGAATTTGATTATATATCATTTTGTTTAATTAAAAAAGTTTGGTCCAATCTTAGAAACAAGTTAATTTGTAATCGCATGACCAAAATACTGTAATATAGTTGATTTAACATCTCGTTTATATTAATTCTATATGTATAGAAATATGACTGTTTGCAAAGTCTAAATGTTGACTCGCACCTAACCAGGCAGTAACCAGTCTGCCCTCGAGAGACTAAATATTCTGATGAGGCCCTGTCCAGTATCTGGACCTGCCCGGTTTGCTTTCTACAATGATAATTTTCAAAATCAATTAACGCTAACTCTCGAGTCAACTACTAATTTCTAAAGTACGTCGAATAAATAGTAACTACACAGGTAGCACTTGGCGCTATAGGGTAATGATGCCTGTAAATTTGAAAACGCCACCATTATGTTCAGTGAACATACTTCAAAGGGAAATAATATTAATCATACCTTTCATTCGATATGAATAACGTGTATCTAGGTATGCAAACGAGGAACCGTGTTCATCAAATCAGTATACAGACTGGACAAATTCAATTAATTTAATTTTCTGAGTCTCACCATGGATTCTTAAGGCTGCGAGCACGTTGCGTCGTAGAGACGTATACGATCAGCCATAATGGTACACCGTCGTCGAGTTAAGTATCCAACGCGCCGATGATACGAGAGAAGACTACAAAGTGCCATTTGAAGTATGTGAAATGACACAAAGCAATCCTTCTGCTCTGTAATTAATACCATCACGACCAGTCGGAATACCGTAACAGACTAGGGGCTCATGAGGTATTCCAAACCCGTTGGGGTTGTCCGCATTAAGGTGAAATCACTAGAAGGTAAATTTGTAGAGAAGCTCGCGTTTGACACCCAAGATGGCTGAAGTGAAAGTCTCCAGAGTCATTGGTATACGCGTATAATACTGGCACGTCAGAACAGGTGCAAGATACAAATGGGTACAACGCTATGAACACATGTATAATAAAGTACACTGGATATACATGATTTCTTTACCTGATTTAAAATTTGAGGTTATTCATCTACTTCCTTGAGATCCATTCAAGTTGATCTCAACAGTCGGATAAGGTTAATGCAGTTGACCATAGGCGTTGGCCCCACGTTAGAACGCTGATTAGAGGTTAAATCATGAGCCTCGATAACCGGACCAGGGATGCTCTTGGCGTTCCATAATGTCATTAGAGAAGCGAAGGGGCTCCTTCGAATTGCGCGGTCGATACGTGCCTTACGGAAAGCTGACAGGTTGCGCAAACGTGACGCATAGTCCTGGCGATAACGGTAAAGTTAATTGTCCTTCGGAACATGTGGTCAGCAGTGCTATTCGGTATCGTTTAAGGATATAAAAGCCTAGAACATTACTCTGTACAGTACCTATTATCCAATCGGCAGCCGGGGATATCGTAAACGGGATTCAAATGGCGAACCTGCCTTATTCAAGAACTGTTACTATATTGCAAAAGGAAAGGACACGTGCATCCCTCTGGCTCCGGGCCGATCTTGCTCTTTCAAATGAGATTAAAATTCCGTGGTATTCCACTAACGTTGTAAAACGTCGAAAGTTTAAACTAACCCGACTGCGGAATGAACTCGGAGTACGTGTGCACTCGTGTCATCCTCGTCTTAGACTCCCGGAATATATCGTTTTTTTTCTCAATCTTCCTTTTTCGTCATCACAATCAGTATCACCCACCCCTTACTCTCCATGGGGATGTACTTAAACTATTCCCAGACGGAACTTTTTTTTGAACGACAGTGCGGTGTAACCCAACAGCCCCTGGGCTTACTATAAATTTAAGACCATCATGATGTAACCTAACTAGCTACCCTTAACGCTGTTTAGCTTCCAGCTGAATTAGCTCCCACTTAACCTGGTCGCATTGTTCTTCCACAATCTGCCTACACTGAGTTGACATTTCATGCGGTGGTAGTTATGAATATTTAAAGCGTCATCGTTCACTCGTTGCTCTTTAACGCGACTATAGATATATCGTATAAGTGTCGATCAGTGATTAACGTAGACGGTATATGCCAACACCATTTCTGAAGTGACTTTGACTAGGGTAATTTGACGGAAACATAGTTACCACCCTTCGTGTAGCATACTGTAATAATGTCGTGTTAAACAGATGGCGCATCGAACGTTCTCGAAGTATCAAACTAGCTAGGGTTAAATGTTACACGTATAAACAGTACATTTTTCACTATACGTTAGATACGCTCGAGATGCACTAAACTCTATCGCACAATGTACTCTCTGCACCGAGAGAATATTTTTAAAAGCTACCCTTATCGCCTCGACACTCCACTGTACTTGCCGCGGGTATCTCGTTGGCGCAGCCTTCTTCTCAGCACGATTCACATCGGACGAGAGAGTTTTCAACCGAGCTATACTTCCTCTTACTTGCATTGGCCAACTTTTGGTACGGCACGCTCGTCTCATTCGCTCATTCACCCATTAGCTCTCGGCTATAGCTCGCGTCTCTCGGCAACTCGCACAGAGCAAGTTTACTGAAAGCAGTCACGATCACAATGGCGCAAGATATACTCTCACGAATCGATGAGTATCGTAACTCCTCGCGTAATTAAAAGCGGCCAAGTCTTGGGATTCATGGCGCAGGGTGCTCGGGACGAGGTGGTGGACGACGCAAGAGGCGTCTCCTCGGGCGACGTCGCCGCAAGGACGTTCGGGTTACGGCGGAAGTCTTGTATATGAAAATTGTGTGGACAAAGACGAAAAGGGCTGACGAGAGAAAGAGGGAATACAGTAAGGGATGGAAAGTGGAAGAACAGTGGCAGCAGCAGGAAAATGTAAGGAAATGGGTGGAAAAGAAATGGAGGAAGAGCGTGTGCCGACAGGTTCGAGCCAGAGTCAGAGCTCGTACTCGCAATAAGGACTCGACGTATTCCCCATTCCTGTCTCACCCACCATTCCAGGACCTCCCTTTCACCCACACTCGTCCCGATCCTTTTGCACCCTTATTCTCACTCTCAGACGGAATGTTTTGCATTTTAAGAAGGTGTCGGATCCCCTTTGCGCCATCCGAAGACAGAACTCCCTCGTCGGCTTACTCGAACGCGAGGGAAAAACGGCAACGTCGCGTGCAACCGGAAAAAGAGACCTTGATCCGAAATTTCGAATAATTCAGAAATAACGGAGATAACTCGAAAAGTGATGCAGAAAGTGTTTTATAATTCATATTTCTAATAGTGCCTGTCCTTTGTATCAATCTTAGAGCACGTTACACAGATTTTCTACGAAGCGAACTTGCAATTCATAACGCTTAATTTCCTCGAATGAATCCACCTCGCCAGGCAAATCCATGTTAATTCGATTAGCCGCTAATCCCCGAAGCAGAGCATCGTAGTCTGCCTTTGGCGGTGGATAACAAAGTGTTGAAACTTCCCTAGTAATGACTGCCTCGTTGGTTCGACGAACCGTAATAGTGAAATTTAACCAGAATACACTTACATTTATGTCCGACGATGAATTTAACATCATCTGTTATATATTCTTTGTGGACGACTATTATTATTATCATTGTACGTGCAAAATTTATTCTACGTTCAATCCATTCAAGAATTGAGTACCTACGATGGCAGGTGTAATCAAGATATACCTATATAGGGTACATCAAGCGGCTATATTATGGGGGATGATCAAAACAAGAATTCCTCAGGGATGCATGAGGGATACTTTATCTCCGTCAGAGAATGAGCTAGACACTCATACGGTAGACAACCCCTACAAGAGTGGGATTATAATATGGATACAAGATGAAAATCGAAAGTGAGGGTAGAGGGCATAGCCGACCGTGAAAAATTTATTTGAAGTCATTTACACACTCCTGTCCTAAGCGATACTCTTTGCTCTCGTAATGCTCGCGAGCCTCAGACATTCACAAATATTCCGCCCCTCCTGTAACTTCAAGCGTTGAACTTCGAAACCACCAGGTATATTCTTACGAGGTTTAAGTTAAATTGAAGTGCTCCTAGCACGAGAACGATACCAGCGTACCTTACTGGATGATGGGTGTATGTTGGTTAAAGAAGGGGGATTTAAGGAGCCAAGCTGTTGATCGAAATGGGATTACTTGTTTTATTAAGTTCTCACTTTATATTTTGGACTTTCGCTGCAGCTTAAATTCGCTAACCCAAGTCCAACAATGTCTATATATTTGGAGATTATTACTATTAATGACAAAATCAGAAATGACCAGTGTAAATTTAAAAAAAAAACTCAGTCAGGTTTATAAACTTTTACCTACTAGCTATTTGCATTGTACATATATAACTCTACGTATACGTTGTCCGAGTGGGTACTGAAATAAAAGGATTACGTTGCGTCACATTCGGTGAAGTTACCCTAGTTGCCGATATACATATAAGAGACAATTTTTGCATATGGAAGGATTAAATTTACAAAAAAAGACCAAGGGAAAAATTATGGAATAAAACGATCCTCTGCGTCTAAAATACGTCTCTATGTAAATCCATTTGGCGGGATCCTGCGATATGTCCGGTTTGGTTTGAAATTTATAGAGCATCCAAAGGGATATCGATAGCTGGTCCGTCGTGTATTGCTAGTAATTGGAACATTTATGAGCAAATCAATCACTTGACTGTGTGTTGCAGTTCCGCCGATGCTATGGATACCGCACCAATTGGTAGGCGCACCCTTAGGGTTCTCCGTCACCCTGGAGTGTCACACGGAGGCTCATCCGACGTCTCTGAACTACTGGACAAGGGAGAACGGGACGATGATAGCGGAAAGTAGAAAACATAAAGCCATAACCACAAAGGAAAAACCATCGTACAAGACTCACATGAAACTCACCATAAATGACATACAGGTAACCAGCAGTGACCTTTGACCACCCAAGTCCAATATACGTCACTGCAATACCTTCACAGACTTCCTTTCTCTCGTGGCTTCTCTATTTCCTCTTCATTTTCGATAACCTTTCCACGAACATTTTCTCGCCCCCTTATGTGCACCATGTATGCGACACGTATTGTACCTATATGTCCGTGGTACCTTCACACCCATCACGTAAAATAGTTTTCAACAGCCTTTCCATATAAATACAGTATTATTCACGGCAAACACACTACCTGAAGGTGGTTCTAGCATAGAAATCAAATGGACAGGCTAACTTCAGGTGGTTGCGTTTGCCATAAATAACCCTGCATGTATGTATATATGTATCAACGCATATTCTGTTAGCAGTGTACCCGTTTCACGGTTCGACGACATTTCCGTCAGACGACAAGCGGCTCGTTATTGTAACGAAGGGAACCGAGAACCCCTCGGTCTAAAGACGATTCAAAAGATTGGAACTCATTAATGAGGCCTTTCACATACACTAATTAATTACCGCATGCAAGCGAGTTTCATCAGAAAGGGCTTTTGAGAATTTTACGACCAGTAATAAAGCTACGACGTATAGTTCGAGTCGACCGGGTTTCCCCGGCTATTATGTATACAGGATTTTATACGTTGCCCATAATCAGTTGCACTTCGCGTCGTTGTTATAATTATTTATTCCATTTTTATATTTCGCCCTCTACCTTGATCTGTTTCGAATATTAAAAAAAAAGAACAAGACTCCTCGATAAACAGGATCACTTTCCTCTTACTTCCAGGAACAGGATTACGGGAGCTACAAGTGCGTGGCGAAAAATCCAAGGGGCGAAACCGAGGGTACCATTCGGCTTTACAGTAAGTATCCCGTTGTTTACGTATTCCGGAGCCATCCGCAGCAGTGTTCACAAAGTTAACGACGGCTTATCGTCCTTTACTGTTTTCATATTGTTATACCTCACCGTATAACTTTCTCTTACCGTCACCTACCAATCGTAAACCCTTGAAAAATTTCTAGAACACATCCTATCCTAAGAACACACCGATTATCCTCTGTATCCGATATTTTCGTATTTTCAAGCCTCCCAAACAACCTACCGTCGTACGTCTTTCCCATTACCAAAACCATTTCAGTAAGGATTCCTCCTTAGTACTGCCATATGATTTGGTCAGTGTAAGTACTCGTATTAGAGAGAAGGAAGAAAAAGAACGGTACGCTGTTCTTGTGATTATTTAATTCACACGCAAGGCACAACAGTGAAATTTACTGTGTAGCGTTTTCAAGTGTATAACTAAGAGCGGTCTATTGCGGCATATCGTAACATAAAGGTTTGTACCATCCAACCAACAGCCAATAGATTCACCTGGGTGTTTGCAAAGTTAACGACGGCTTATCGTCCTTTACTGTTTTCGTATACCATCCGACCCGCAACCAATAGATCCACCCGGATGTTTGCAAATTTAACGACACCTTGTAATTTCGGATGTTTATTATTCCCCAAGAAAATTCTCTTTGTCTCTTAGATAGACCAAAAGCGTTGTCTTGTTCACAAGATATTTTAATCGAATTTTATAAAGCTCGGTCTTTTGAATAATTTAAGCAGGTCGGGGAAAGGCTTTCTCAGTATCGTAGATGTTTTTTTTGCAATAGAATTTTTTATCATTGAAAATGATTTCAGACAGTTCCGAATTTATGTATCTGTCCGTTGTCCGACTCTTTTATCGCGACTGTACGGTAACTTTGAGTATTGACTGTACAAGAGGCTATGCATAAACGCGGCGAGATGATTCTACGCTCGTAACGTATGCATATGACATAAAGGGTTGCCAGAGATGGCCGGGACTGTGTACACACGTGTACGCGTGAACCGTCGGTGTCGTGAGCTCTCCATTAGCATGCATCGGTTTTTCGCATTAGCGACATTCAAATGAAGCGAACGCTTTAGCATAAAAGGCTTTAGGGTAAAAACGAGCATCTAAAGAGACCACGCATTGAAAATGATACTGATTGGGATTATTTGCTCTTTGGGTATCAGCCTCGGTTACATCGTCTAGTCATTTTGAAATATGAATATTTGCCATGTATTAATGAAAAAAATTTCATGTGACTACAACGCGACACTGTGATATATATACCTTATTCTACGTAATACTATAATTTTCGAAATTATCGACATGCGTCGTTTACGTAAATATTTTTTTAATCCGAAACTATCGAGTCGATCATCGTTATGCTCGATTCACAAGAGCAATCCCTCTTTTCCGTGGATCGACCATTTATGCCGACCGTCCGTTTCTCATAGTTACTTCATTACTCCTTGCGGAGAACGAGTTTTGTGTCGCCCCTCGTTATTTACAGTTGACGTTTAACGAAGTACAAAAAAAAAGAGAGGGGGAGGAAAGGAGGATGGAAAAAAAAGTGTTCCTCGATGGCCCACGTTGTACGTACGGTGGGTGCTTCGCGCCCCAAGTTTTAGCACCCCCTGTGGTCTCCAAAAGAAAATAAGCGTGGGGTCTAAAAGTCGGGAGGGGAGATCCGCCTGAAATTAAGTGGTAGCAGTCAGAGATATGTCAGACGAGTTTTATTAAGCGGCATAAAAAAGAGATTTGTAGTCTGACTGAGGGAGAGTTCCAGAGCTTGAGAGCACGCCGATGGAAAGGGGCTCGTAGAGATATGAATTTATTATTAAGGACCGCCTAAGGGCCAAAGTACCCCTGTTTCTTGATATCTAGCTTCCCTGCCATCCTCTTTCTCATCCAGCACTCAGCCGGGCAAACCTTGGGCGCAGCTAATTTATTCCGCAAAGCCGAGAGTCAACCTGCTATTTGTACGAAAAACTCCAGCGGAACAGCGATATTATATTCATTCCTTTATTTAGTTTTCTAAATCTACCCCTCGCGTGATATAAGGACGTCCTATTGAGAATGTAACCAAAAAAATCTGTTCAGTATAAGAATAATTTTTGTTGTCACTGCGTGAAAGATTTTGAAATTTTTTATCGATAGTAACGGAGTAAATCATATAGATCTTGGGAATATCTATTAATATGAACTTATAAAGTGTCCTTCGATTCAAATGAATAAAATATTTTTATATTTACAAGAAAAAAGAACGTGAAACGTCAATTCATGAAAGTCCATCGGATATTACTTTGTATTGAGTGCCTAAACACATATGTAGGTCCGTAAAGTAATGTTTTGGATGAAATTTGAAAAAAAATACAATTTAGTTCCTGACCCTCGTCCCCAGATAGATAGGGTAAACTGTATCGTAAAATTCCAGAAAAATCGAGGTATCCTTCTGTCTAAAAAAATTCGTAGTCACGTCTGAGATTTTATCTTCGGTTACGATTCAATTTGATATCGTTTTACGCGGCAAATTTCAAACTACAGAGACAAACTGTTCTTCGCGTAACGTATCCTTGGTCTAATATCCACAGATATGATATTCGATTAATCGATATGAATTGACACTACTAAATTTTGACGTCGTTAATTTTTTTTTCTTCCAAAAATTCTAAAGTTCCACGCTGAAACGATCGAACTTCGGAGCCACGTTGGGGTCGTTTTAATTATGAATTGATCAGAGTTTCGTAACTTGCCAGGCATAATGAGTTCTTCCGAACGGTCCAGTGCTCGTGGCTGTAGGTCAGGCCGATGCTGAGAATCGGATATAAAAATTGTATAGTTTCCAACGCCGGAGGATATCCCAGCGCTGAAAACTTTAACCGCAAGACTCTCGCGCTTCGTTCTACAACTTTTTCCTAGAAGAAAAAAAAAGAGAAGAGCGCCACGGCAGACGGGAGGACGTGCTTCGATCAATTATTGAACTACATTTCCCACTTCTTGAAACGAGGTATGTCTCGTCGAATTCCAGAAAATTGACGACGTAGCCATTTTTCAGAATTTTCCAATACTACGTATATACCTAAGTATAATACATAGCCAATCGATAATTGTCTCTTCAGTTCGATATTTATACTCTGATAGTATCGTGCTTCGGGTAATTGGTCATAATGAATAGACTTCTTTACGTAGACGAGTTCACATCTAATTTCGTTTTTCATTACATTAATTCGGCTCATCCGTAGCCCGTGGATACAAAAGTTAATTACGTTGTTTTCCCATGACGCCAATTAGTAATTGTCAGTTTTTAGCTGAATCGCCAAGTATTAAAAACAAAAATGGAAGAAAGCTTTTTACGATTCTCGTGAACTCTAATTATAATAGGAGATAAGTGGTGTGACTAATTAGACGGGGACCCTGACGAAACGCAGGAACTTTACGTCAGTCTCGTAATCTTGTTTTTAGGAGAGAATCAAAAAATAAGTCGCCCGGTATATGGTTTCAGGTTGGTAAGTGATAGCGGAAGATTATGTAAAGAGCAAATGCCTTTTTAATTTAGCTAAAATCTTTTGAATTTCGAGAGGAATTTTCTCGTCTTGTGCATCGTGACAATAATGAATCTTGACAATAATGAATGAAAATGTTTAGTGCATCGCGACTTCCTTTACACCTTCTGTTCGTGTCGCGATTCCCCAGCAAGGATAGGTAATAACGAATGACGTTCATTAACAGCGCGTCTGCTGCGCGCCGTTTAAAAAAGTCCATCTACGCGTTGAATTACGCCAAATTTTTCACATGCCGGAAGTAGTATCCAAGCCGCGCACGTATACGTATCGCTGTAGCACGGAAAGTGACAACGCGCTTTCGAACGGCGATGCGCGCTGTTTGGGCCTGTGGATGAAACGAAACGATCGCGCGACCACGCGTTCCTGCATTTCGGCCAATTGCTAAATGGGAAATGGGAACGTCCATTTTAATGTCGCGCGTCCACTGCTACACCTTTTCTGTAACCGTCAGAGTGAATTGTGATGGCGATAATAACAAAACGTTCGTTGCCGTAAAATCAAATTATTGAAAATATTTTAATGGAAAATATTTTACCGATATTTTTGCCCAATACATGTTTATCGCCTTCTACCTGGTCATATCCAACTTAGAATAAATAAACGCATCTATGTAGAGCAAAGAATTGTAAAACAATACAGAAAATGAAACCTTGGAGTTCAAACTAATGGCCGTTAAGTGCGGTTGTATTAATTTATTTAAAAAAAAATAAGAGATTTTGTAAGTCGAAATCAGAGGATCCAAGAAAGGTCCAACTCGAGTCCCGCTTGAAGAACGACTTTTGGAATCGACTTTTCTAGCGAGCGAAGAAGTTTGGCAATTTCCTGGGGCTAATCTGGCGGTCGGTCAGCATTGAGATGCTGCGGGGTTACCAACCGGGTGGAAACAGGAGGCTAGCCGAGGGTGGTGGGTCCAACGACCACGAACGACGGGTGGTCCCATGAATTATACAAGCGACTCCCCAAGCAAGAGGGAGGGAGGGAGAGAGAGAGAGAGAGAGAAATCCAGAGACCTCAAGAGACTCGGGTAAAGACGCGAATGCGTGCCTGGAGACCCTTCGGACAGTTCCACCTTTCTTAAATTCGTCTGAGGGTCGAACCAACTATCGAGAGGTCGCAGGGAATAAACTGATGTCATTCAACGTATTTCCGCAGTTTAGTTAGTACAGCCACCGGTTGATGAAGCAGCGGTATCCGTTAGCTAAAAGCAGCCGCAAGGATGGCTTTTAATTAGTCGACAGCCTCCCAACAATTTGTCGAGGTTAATGCCTCTCGAACGGATCCTTGTTTACTTTCAATTTTCGCAGGCCCGGTATGTACGGATTTCCAGGAATCTTCTGACAGGGATTCGGCTGTGGGATTCCCAAGAATTAGAGAAAACTACGTCAAACCAGGATCCCCGTTGATATGCGTAATTATCCAGGATCTCTCGTAGTGAATGTAGCCACTGACGCCATTTGATTTTACATTTGCTTCTCTATAATATTTTCATTTTCTCCCTTATTCCTTTCTTAGGCGCATTACTTCTGATATCTTACTTAACTTTCTTCCTTTTCTTTCTTTATTTTGGTGACACAATACCATTTCTTTACAATCCTCTGTATTCTTCAGCCTCTCTTACACCGTGTATAGGGCAGTGCCGCGCTGGAGCTATCTTTCACAGTTCTTCGACGGCCATGGAATATTTTATGGGAATATTCTTCCTGTTACGATGCTCGGGCTTTCCAGGGAGCTTCCGGCGCAGTCCTTTCGCAATCTCAATACTTCACACAGGATGGGATCGATTATTTTCGTTGTGTTCATATCGTACGACCCTATACGTAAAAGAATTATACAGTCTGGATATACAAATAATATACGGCAACTGTACATTATACTTTATTTACTGAATACAATAGGTATACAAATTTTATAAGATTTTTGACGCGAGACTTAGAGAATATAGGAAGGATATGTAAAAGATCATAGGGACGAGCATTGCGGATGATTATGCCAATAGAAGTGGTCCATAATAATATCCACGACGCCTAGCATCGCTCCGATGATATTATTAAGAAAAAGATTGACACGTGACGGTAATATCTCCAGAATTCAGATTAGCTCCCAAACTCTCGCGCTCGTTTCAACCTCCTACATATATTAACTTTCGATTTTTCATTAAAGTCCCAGTGACTGCCAACTCACGTCCGCGTCCCGAAGGCATCAGGCTAGGTACTTCGGATTTCCAAGCGAGCCACTCTGAATATTGTCGTCATCCTATAGCTAAGTCTCTCGGCATTCTTGGCGAGTGTCTCTTAGCCGACTTCAGCCGTCTTTCCAGCAGCCAAGACGCTCCTAGTAAGGATACCAGGAATACGAACGAATCCATAGGCATGGATACGCCGCGCGAATTGTAAAAGATTCGCAATATACCATATGCATATATGCCATGCATATACGTAAAGCTACAGGATAAGTTACTCGAGTGTATCTCGATGAAGATAGAAAGAAAGAAAAAAAAAGAGAGAACGAAGAGGCTATTAACGCCAGTGTAAGCTTTATGGCCAGGGCACAGATCCTCGATCTCTGCGTATACTTAACGTACCTTATATACCTTCTGTGCGATAACCCACATCCACCTTAGCGAACCTACGAATTATCCTTGGAAACGGGCAGTTTCCATTCGCGCAGGATCATCTCAAGAAAGCTCACGAATACAAAGGCAAAAGTCAGAGAGGTTCCGAGGTGGGCATCATCGTGTAAAAAATACGTTGCAAAGACGAGACTTTGGTGCCTCTATAAGGGAGAGCCGCTGACGGCTTGTAAGATTGATTGGAGTCACGGGATGGAAAATTAACGGTCTAGCTCGGGTGGTCCAGGGTGAACGAAGCCAAAGGGAGGAGCGTGACAGCAGCCGCATACTAATTCCCCTCGCGCCCTTTCTAGCTTCCAGCCACCCTAAACCACCCAGGAGGCACCCTCCAGCTACCCTCCACCAACCTTCTACTCCTCGTCTTCTTGATCCTGTTACTCCTTCTCGAGTCCTCCCACCCACC